AGCATTTAAAGGCAGTTTTCGAAAGATTTAATAAATATGGAATAACTATTAATCTATCTAAATGTGTTTTTGGTCAGTCAACACTTGAGTTTTTAGGATTTGAAGTGTCTACGGAGGGTGCGCGACCACTTCAAGATAAAGTACAGGCTATTGTAAATTTCCCGAAACCCGAGACAGTCGATCAACTACGCCGTTTTCTCGGTATGTTAAATTTTTATCGTGCACACATTCCAAACGCTGTTCAATATCAATTCGAATTGAATAAATATTAGCACAATACAAAGAAACGCGATAAAACTTTGATTGTGTGGACTGATAAGGCTGTCGAAGCATTTAAGAAGTGTAAGGAAAGCTTGCAAAGCGCCGCTACATTGTCTTATCCTTTACCAGATGCTAATTTAGCGCTGATGACCGATGCCTCGGATACTAGTGTAGGTGCTGTATTACAACAGAAAAATAACAACAATTGGCAACCATTAGGGTATTTTTCAAAAAAACTTTCACAAGCTGAAATGAAATATTCTACTTATGATAGGGAATTGTTAGCAGTATTTATGGCTATCAAATATTTTAAAAATTTTGTGGAAGGCCGTGTACTGACTATTTATACTGACCATAAGCCTCTCGTTTTTGCATTTTCAAAATTAAATAACGACAAAGAAAGCCCTAGAAGAATTCGTCAATTATCTTACATTAGCGAGTTTACCACCGATATTCGTCATATCAGCGGTGCGCAAAATGTAGTCGCAGATACACTTTCGCGGATAGAAACGATCAGTTGTCCTACATTACTCGATTTTAGAGAAATAGCTGAGCAACAACTTAGTGATGAATACCTACAGCAGGCGTTGCAAGCAAAAGATAGTAAATTACAATTTAAACAAATATTATTGCCAGACTGCGAAAAATATATTTATTGCGAAATTTCATCTAACAGAATTAGACCGTATTTACCAGATAAATTCAGGAAAATTGCTTTTCTTTCGGTTCACGATTTAAGTCACCCCGGTGTTAAGACTACCAGAACTTTAATTAAACAACGTTTCTTTTGGCCTAATATGCTTAAGGATATAGCGAGTTGGACTAGAACCTGTTTTAGTTGCCAGAGATCAAAAATTAATAGGCATACGATAGCAGGATTAGGAGAGTTTGAGCGTGCAGACCGTTTCCAACATGTTCATATAGATATTGTAGGCCCGTTGCCTACATCGGCAGATGGACATAGATACTGCGTAACAATGATAGATCGTTGTACCGGATGGCCGGAAGCTTTTCCAGTTCACAATATTACAGCTGAAACAGTAGCCAAGGTAGTATTTGAAGGCTGGATATCTCGATTTGGAAGCCCTTCGAAGCTTACTAGCGACCAGGGTAGACAATTTGAGAGTGATCTTTTCAGTCAGCTAATGAAGTACCTAGGTATTTTTAAAATGCGAACAACACCTTATCATCCGCAGAGTAACGGCATGGTTGAGCGATGGCATCGAGCACTAAAAGTGTCACTTACGGCACGTTTAAACTGCAATAGTAACTGGGTGACCGAGCTTCCAGTCGTGTTGTTAGGCTTACGAGCCGCAACCCGCAGTGACAGTGGCGTTAGTGCAGCAGAGTTAACTTATGGTAAAACAATTCGTTTGCCAGGTGATTTTTATGAAGATTCCAAATTAAATTGCTCGGATTCGGAATATTTACAAAATCTTCGCGATTCCATTAAAAGTTTGAGACCTAAACCGTCAAGTCATGGTAATTCACGTTCGTTATTTCTGCCTAGCGAATTAAATAGTTGTAAGAGTGTATTCATAAGAAATGACGTATTTCGTAAATCTTTGCAACCTCCTTATGATGGCCCTTACGACGTTGTAAGTCGGAAAGGCAAAACTTTCGATATTAAAATAGGAGATAAGACGAAAACTATTTCAATAGAAAGATTAAAACCAGCATTTTTTATAAATAGTGATAAAGATTTTAGTTATAGTTCGAATTTTAATAAGAGTAACGATTCTAGTTTAGATAACGAGGTCACTTCCAGTAAAGCTCTACAGCCGAGAACTACGCGTAGTGGCCGCGTTATCAATACACCCGTACGTTTTACAGCATGACGTAATACATACGTACCTATAGCGTAGCTAGTCGAACGGACGAAGCATAGAGAACAGTATACGAAATACGAAGCAAGCGGAAGTCTTTGTAAATTAAATAATAGGTAGTTCTGTTCTCAAGATTTCAATTTCATCGATATAGCTCTAGAAATAATAACAGTGGGTACTGATTTAAACAAAGAACTTTTGTCAACCAATTTTTGTACTCAGCTTACAAGATCGCCGCGTTCCCACAATTTGTTAATGTAAATATTACTCATTTGTTAATGTAAACAAATCGATACGATACGTGAATAAGTAGCATAGTGAATATTAGGTTTAGTGGTTGTGGAAATTATAGGTTCAATTCCATATTCAACATGTATTTGTAGAGTATAATAAATATAATTTTAGATTGGTTAGGATTTAGATACTATTAAACAGTAATTTTGTTTAGTAATAAGCTTTTGATAGGAAACATGTAAATTAATTTAATTTGTTTACTAATAAGTAAGAATTTGTATTCGATAAAAATTAAATGTTTTATATGACATATTATTTTATATGGCAACACTTTAATTACTTGTCATTTATTTAAAAATTGTTTATTTTATTTTTATTGTTCTTTATTGTACTGTTCTTTTACATTTCTTACAATATGTGATGTGTACTTTTATTTTTTATTGTAAGAGGGGGAGTACTGTAGGGACACATATGCCTACATGTACATGTACAGTTTAGTTTGTAAGATGTTTATAAACAATTTGTTAGCGTCTGTAGAACAAAGACTTTTTAACTAGTCGCTAATATACGGAGTTACAGAGTGAACGTGTTTTCTTATTTAACCTTCTGATAACATAAATAGGGTCCGACACTTAATACCCTAAACCAAGAATAGGGCTGTTTGCATGAAAGTTATATTACTTTTTCTTAATTGTTGTGTTGTTGTAGGCAGACATTTGTACGATAAATAGCATATCTCACTTCCTCCACTGACTCATATTTCTAACTTTTGAAAATTTTCGATTACATTTTGGTGCTTCGACTGCCTGTTTCAGTTCTTATCTAATTGCATAAAGATTAAAACTTATACCTACCTAACATGTGGTGTGCAAATATCATAAAATATCTTAAGAAAAACAATACAGTAATTTATTTAGAAACCCACCTCATAAATTAGCTATTTTACCTATCCCAAAAAAATCCTACTTGAATTCCTAAATTTCATATACCTTTACATAAGTCATAATACCTATATTATAATTTTAATGTAAATAACATTTTGGAAATTACGTAAATACCGGTTTCGTGTAAACTTGTTTTGAAATCCGTTACAAGTTATGGAAACCCTTAAGGTAGGTACACGAAGTGTTTGTAAACAGGGACAAACTTCAGGCCTAAAGGATTTTATGTGACTCTATAAATGAAAGTGGTCTTTATTGTAAAAGAAATATAGCTTTAATGAAATTGTAGCGTTCATCGCTGATGCTGTGTTTAAAACGTCTTATAATATTTTAATAAATGTCATAATCTATACTAATATCGCATAAGTGTTACAAATTGGCAATATCATTACGTGAAGACATCGACGGGTTCCAAGAACAATGACGTATCTACAAATTTCGATTTGTCGTGACACAGTTTTTAAGTTTCTAATTTTTTTTAACAATAATTTACGAATAACAAAGTTCAAGAAACCATTTATCAAAGGCTGTTCATTTATTTCATTGACACTATTTCCATGTTTTTGACTGCATTTTTGAGAAAATAGCTTCGGATGATCAATTCATATCTTGTTCTACGCAATACTGCAGTATGTAAGTGTAAATACGCCTGTGTTCTATGAAAAACTTATCAACTTAGGTGTACATGTTACGCTTAAAGATCAGAATCGCTCATTGAGCGGAAAATAGTTCACAACGCGTTGTGGTCCCATTAAAATATCTAAATAGCGAAAGTCATGTTATGGTCTTATGGAAACGAGGCGTTGTGGCATTCACAGAATAACCACATAGCGAAGCCCGTATCATGGCTGTCATGCTATACGACCACAACGCGTTGTGGTAATGAAGAATTTTAGTGGATGGCTTTACACTCTTTTTAGAATAACTAAAAGAAAATATTTCAAACCAATAACAAATCACGATCAGTCACAAGTTCAATGATATTCATAGACTAATATCTTATAATCTCAATGACGATAATTGTTAGTTTTAGAAACATATCTTGATTTTTTTGAACATATAAGTAAATTTGTTTTTTTGTCAAGACAATTTTACTTCTTCTCTCATCCATCTTGTAATGTTCCATCATGCACCCTTTTAATATTGACGTGTAATCTATCCCGCAAGGGATACGGTGTAAAGATTATAGATAATAATATATGTATGAAAGCAGAATTCATATACAGCTATCTTAGCACAAGACGATAAGATAAGATGAGACGATAAGACTTATAAAATAATAATATATTCATTAATTTCATACTGCCTAGGAAATAAGTAGGCTGTAGGTATTAGGTAGGTACCAAGTTTTTTTTTTTGCTTTGACGTTGGTTAGATAACAAGAAATAGCTTGTTTGTTTTTTGTGTAGATTGATGGTAGGTGAGCAAATCGCTCTAAGTGATTCGTTGCAGCTAGAGGCCTGAACTCTCTCTCACCGGACGCCTCGAGATGCTACTCTGGCGAAAGAAGAGCTTTTATTCTAGCAAGCGTGGACAGGATCCACAAGCATAACAGCTTCGAGATGCAGTTATGCCAGGGTATCCGCCCGTTCGAAGAAAAGAAAGGATAGGAAAGATTATAAATGATATACTATATAACAATACATATGCAAATATCGAGAATATATAAAACATATATAATAAAAGATATAAAATTGGTCAGCTCCATAGATAAAATTGATTTATTAATAAGTAGGTACTAATTACTTATTGCCATAATCCACTTTGGATTTGATTCTGTCCCGCATAGACTAGAGTCTAGTGCAGGAATGATCGAACGGGTGGTGTTTTTCATCCAGCTTATTTTTAGATTTTGATATCGAGTTGAATGTCCTACAATGCATGAGGGTGTTTTGTTGGCAGTGGGACACTCTTTTCGTATGTGATCGGAGAGCCCACAGTGCGTGCATATTTGATTAGATTTGCACTGCCCTTGGGTATATCCAAACTGGGCGCACTTGCGGCAGTGCTTGAAGGCAGGAAACTCCTCGTAATGAACCTTCTGAAAGCCGATTTTAAATCTGGCTGGTTGTATCAGCGATAACTTCTGCCACAAGGTGGGGGTGACAACAAGTATCGCGTTGTATAGTGATTGGTTGCTGTTCGAGGATGTGAACCGCAATTGGAGGTCTTTCTCATTGGTAATGTTAAGTTCTGGGTTTCGGTCATTGATTTCATGAACTAGCTGATCGGAGGGTGTATCTTTGTAGATACCTTTGAGAATGATCCGAGGATGGTCCTTTCTTTCAGGTTCCACGATGAATTTGTCCGTGGCAGTGGCTTTAAGGTGGTCTGCCGCCTTTTCTTGCTCTTCAATACTGTTAAATTGAAGGCGTATTTTGCCCTTAAATATGAGCCGGAAGTGGTTGGGGTTGGGGACGCTCGCCTCTTTTAAGATTCGCTTCAATTCTGCGGTGTTTGCATCTCGGTTGCTATCTTTGTCTATCGGCGTTACAACCAACGCCGGATGGGATCCTATAAATGCTCGTGGACTGGACGTGTTGAGCGTGATTGCGGATCGCCTCTCGGAGAAAGGCGATTTATTGGCGGGCTTGACACTATTGGTCGCGGTCACACGAGCGTATGTGGATTGCGATTTCGATTTCACGTCGGAATTGAGTGTCTTGACGCGTGCAAGCGTTTTTCTCATTTCGGCGAGGTCTTTCTTAATGACTTGCAGATCCGCTTGAAGCGTCTCTGTAATTCTGAGCCCCAGCTGAATCCCGGGGTCCAGTACCAGAGGTGGATTGTGGCAGTGTGGGTGTTTCTAAGCTGGATGCCTGCGCCTGTGAGCTCACATTGGTACGTGGCAGGTGGAGAAACTCCTGCCATCAAACTTATTGTATCTTATCTAAGTAATAGAAGACAAGTCACGCGCTTAGAGGGAATTAATCCTGAAACTGGTATTAATACTGCTTGTGTGTCAAGAGAGAGAGAGGTCTATTATGGGGTACCTCAAGGTAGTATAATGGGTCCTCTTTTATTTATTATATATATAAATGACTTTCCTACTGTAACTAATCATCACATGACTTTATATGCCGACGATAGTACTATTTTATTTAATTATAATCGCTTAAGCAATACAGAATCTGACATATGTAATACAATTAATTCTTTAATCAATTGGCTGACATTAAATAATTTGACAATTAATTTTAACAAAACATACTTAATGAACTATTATCAAAGTAGTAATGATTCATCTAATCTGAAAATTAATTACCTAGATAATGCGGTAAATGTAGTCGATTCAACAAAATTTCTAGGCCTAACTATAGATAGCAAGCTGTCATGGAAATCCCACATTGATAATTTATTAAAAAAATTAAACCAATTCTCATATGCGCTTCACAAATTACGGAAAGTTGCTAACATTAAAACACTATTAATAGCGTATCATGGGTATGTTGCTGCAAATCTTAGATATGGCATAATTTTCTGGGCTAACACTACGAATAAACAAAGCATCTTCAGAGCTCAAAAGAGATGTCTAAGATCTATGTTCGGACTAATGCAAGATGACTCGTGTGAACCATACTTTCGTAAGCATAAAATTCTTACACTGCCGTCTATGTATATATATGAAATTGCAAGTTTTATTAGAAGCAACCCACACTATTTTGATAAAAATCCTATTGGAAGTCGTCGAGAGGGCACTCTAAAGGTCACACATAGGTGTAGAAAACTTCTCAGTAGAATTTGCGTAAATTGTATGGCACCAACAATATATAATAAAATTCCGCTGTCTATTAGATCGATAAACGATAATAAACGATTTAAAAATGCACTCAATGGCTTTCTTGCTGAAAAAGCTTATTATGACATTAGAATGTTTTTAAATGATAAGTTTAACAATAATTGACAAAACTAAAATTAATACTTAGATTTTAAGTGACATTGTTGTAATTTTGAATTTTTATTGATATATGACATTTTAATTTATCTAATCTAACATTTTAATCCATTTACTTAATAAGAACTTATAAGAATTGAAATAATTACTTAAATTTTTAATTGACATTGTTGTAAATTTTATTATTTTTTTTATTGATATCTGACATTTTAATCTATATATCTGTTTTATGTTAATTACATTAATATTTTTACAATGTTCATATACCATCTAAGGTGAATCATGGCTGACCTTTTGTTTTCTTTATTACACCAATGTATTGTAGCTCGGTGGCGTAGTGGATTAGCGCTGCGGCCCGTGATCGTAGTCGTTAAGCAACTTTCTCAAGGGCCGGTCACGGGATGGGTGACCAAAAAATTATTATCTCGAGCTACTCCGTGCTTCGGAAGGCACGTTAAGCCGTTGGTCCCGGCTGCATTTGCAGTCGTTAATACCCTCCAATCCGCATTGGGCCAGCGTGGAGGGTCATGGCCCATCCTCCTTAACCATCCATAAGGAAGGCCTGAGCCCCTGCAGTGGGGACGTAAAAAGGGCTGATGTAATAACTCCGACCATATTGGAGCAGGAGGTAAGCGCATAGCGCCTCTGCTCAGTGGTCACAGATTTGCTTTAAGTGAGATTGTACTCGATATTGTTTCGTATCGCTCCAATCTCAAACAAGATATTATCGAGCATCTCGGTGATGACGTGGTCCATGGGACCAGTCTTTGTTCATTCGTCGAAAACGCAAGGAAATAATGGTGGACGCTCCTCCAGCAACGTTTTGCTGGTGTTCTTAGGAGGTTTGGGTGGTGGTGGTGCAGTTGGTGGTGCTTTGTCTTTGCTTGTTGAGTTTTCTTTTTCTTTGCAACGGAAGGTGTTTTGGCAGAGCCAGAAGTACTGGCTACAGGTGCAACTGTGGTCTGTGGTTCTGTCGCGGTTGTGACCTGCTCGAAGGCAGGCCTAGTGATGATAATTACTTCGTCCGTCTCGGACCGATCGTCAGTAGATAAGTTTGAGTAATAGTCGTATAAATCTTCCATGTCTGTCCCACGAGTGCGGAGGATTGGGTGGTCCACCCGGGCAGAGATTCCGCGGTACCCGGGTAACCCTATATACACCAGGGGGGGCCGGAAAGTTCCCCTGGATTGGCCGTTAGCTAGTTGACTAGCCCCGTCAACCACCCACGCATGGGCGGCCCGACGTCGCGCACCCTAACGCCGGGTCTTTAGGGTTTTTTATAGAGGTTGTCTCCTCGCAGAGCCACTCGGTTAAGGGCAGCTCCCCCGGCTCCGCTAAAGCGAAGTAACGGGTCAGAAGACGGGTGCCTAAAGGCATGTTCACTGTCCGGGGTAAACGAACCAGTGAACCCCGCCGCCCTCGCCCGCACCGCCGCTACCTGGATCAATTCCAGGACGCCGGTCGGGCCCCGAACCGGACCACCGCTACCCATAATATGTCTGGGACGCCGGTCCGGAACACCTCGACCCGTTGCCGCCACCCGGAATATGTCCGGGACGCCAGCGAGTCCGTCGTGAGTCTTGTTATGTCAGCGCCGGCAAGCTGGTAGCCTCCATATCTGGAGGCCGTTCCTTCCATCCGCAATCCGGAAGGACGCTCCCGATACCGGTGGTGCTCAAACCGGTCCCGACCCAGCACAGGGCCGGCGGGGGTACCAAGATTTAGATTTAATAAAACTTAAAGCTTCTTCAAAGGTAAGGTATAGCTAATATATTGCATGAATGATTTCTTTTTGTATATGTGAAATAAATACTCTTGTGAGCGAAAGTAATTAGCTTAAAACCCAAAGAGGCTAACAAGTGTAACCATGTATGTACGTGCTTTTTAGTTTTTGAGCTCTTGCATCTTGTAGCGTTACCTATAGCTCCCAAGTAATAGGTATAGTTAATAGATACCTACTAGGTACCTATAACTACCTATAGCGGATTTATTAAATGTTATTACATATTAAAATTCTACATCGGATAACATATGTAATAAAAATTTGTGTTTTTGAGAAACGCCGTTTTGGCTCATATTTAAGTGGGAAAAAATCTCTCCTCAGCTAAAAGTTGCATGCAAGAAAAGATAAAGTGCTTACTAAGCTTACTAGAAATATAGTCTAGTTTATGTGTATCAGGAAGAATATTATCATTTCAAATGTCTTTGTGTTTTAATGAAAGTTTTTCATTAGTTTAGCTAAGATAAGAACTCAACAATTATCCTGATTCTAGCTCTCTGTATAACGTATTGATGCCAACTTATTTATTGAAAAAGTAACATTAAATGAATTTGGTATTCATGTTAACTAAACAAAAATCAGATATTTTCAAGTAGATTGTCAATTAAGGCTCAACTCAACCCACGAAACGTTTTATTTTCATCGAAATGTCTGATAAATAAACGGTCATGCTTCGTGATATATAGGGATAAACACAACCTTGACCTTCATCAAGTTAGGAACGACTTTAATCCTACAGGATGCCAAACTGTCGCTTTTCGAAAAGTCACCTACCGTTGGTGTACGAATGTAATTTAGTTGCACACAATTTGTAGAGAACAAAGAACTAATGAAAGTAGATACTAGTACTCCTGTCGCGCTAACTCAAGATTAGCTTTCTCTGAAGATTCCAAAATTAGTAAGGTCATATTATCCTTTTGCTTCCCAGCTCAAGTAAGTAATCAAGTGATGCTAAGCACTCGTACAGTAGATATATTAAGACAGTCCTCCAAAGCAGAAAAGTTTTCAAGTGAGATCCAGTCTAAGCTTGATTCTAAGCCTGTGAATATATGTATCTTGGGTTAGGGTTCTTGTAATAACTTCAGACTGCTTGGAGTTAGGAAATTAAAAGTATGTCGCTTTTAATTTCCTAAAGAGGATTATTCTTTCTACGCAAATAAACTTGTAGCTTGTAGCAAAGATTTCTATGTTTTTGGCTTGTAGGCAAAAGTCTGACAGTCAAATATTTTAGCGAAGTAGATTTATTGGTGCAAATGGTAAGGTTATTCCTCTAAATCAAAGTTGACAAATCTGATCGTCCAGATCTATGGGTGGCAACCTAAATCGTTAATCAGCCGGCATGACGTTTGTTTTTGGGTAATAATTCCTGAAAACCGGCCGCCAGAGAAATTGCCTTTTAAACCAAATGTCGGATTGTGTTAAATCCCTCTTCAATCGTTTTATTTAAAAATAAATCCTAGTTTTCATTCCGAAATAGCGTTTTCACTGCTGGATAGCCATTTGTTACAATATGGTAATTAATTAGAAAAGTAAACTGACAGTGTTTATATTGATGTACAGAGATTTTGGCGTTTTTTATGCCTATTTGAAATTCTTAAATCGGTATAGAATAATAAAATATTTATTGCCTTGTCGATTTAAAGAGTATCTAAGAAAAGGGGAGGAACAATCGCGTATTTCAATAAATCAAATCTGAATGTTATTATTCTAGTATTGACTAGAAAATATTTAACGAAATTTTATCCAAAAAGTTGACTGATTTATTGTTAGACGAGATAGACGCTTCGACAAAACATATTTGTTTAAATTTCGTCTTGTGTGTCCTTCTTATTTAATTCTAAATTTGTAGTTTAATGTTATAATAAGTTTCAATCTTTTTACTAATGAGATTGATAGTGTGCTTTCGACGAATTCCTTTATATTTCAAACTTAAGTCATACATTTTATATGCAAACAAATAACGTAATAAATAACAGGACGGTTTTAAGTACGCGATGTAAAAATAAGTTATGAA